ATAATGTAAAATATCTCACTAATAACTTTTAAGTGTTGATTACATGTTAAAATGATATTTTAGCTATGTTGAGTTAAATAAAGTACCTTATTAAAATTAATTTCTCCTGTTTCATTTTACTTTTTAAAGTGTGGTTACTAGAGGCTTTGAAATTACATATGTGGCTTGATTCTGTTTCTGTTGCACAGTATTGGCATAGCTCCTGTCTTCAGAAGGCTTCAGGGTGCCTGCAGGACAGGTAACACATCCATCCTTACATACCTGCCTTCCTGAAAGGTAACAGGATTCAGGACACATTACCCTCAAATATGGCGTCTTGGCATTTGAGAAAACAGCAGAAACAGGAAGGCCTCTCTGCCCTTCTCCTGCCCTTTTCGCCTGAGCATAATAAAAGAATTCTCTCACTTTCCTGTGGAGCAGCCATAAACCCTTCATTCCAGAGGTTCCCTTCCTACACCTGAAGGAAAAGAACATCTTTATCCCCCAGACACAGAGATTCCAAGAGGAATCTGAACAGCTGGTCATTGCTACGTTCTTCCAAGTTTATTATTGTTAGATCACACCTTTTTGTGCTCCAGTCATACTTCTCCACAATTAACTCACTTCATCAAACTTGGCATAGATATACACAGATTTCCCTGTCTTGAGGTCTTTATTTCTAGAGGCTCCTCTGTCACATAAAGCTTATATTAAACAAACTAGTCTGCTTTTCTCTTGTGGATCTGTCTGTTGTTAGAGGGATCTCAGCCATGAACCAAATGATGGGTGAGAAAAGAAATCTCTTTGCCCCCACAAAGGTGAAGGTGGACACACCTGTCAACCCTGTTCCGTTTCCCTACGCCCATGCCTGGTAACTGATTATTAGCCTAGGAACTAATGATGACCTAGACACAAAGGCATGCCCCAGACCAGAAACAGGAAAATACAGCCAGCCCTCTGTATCTGTGGGTTCTGCATCCTTGGATTCAACCAACCTTGGATTAGAACTATTTTTGGGGGGGGGGGATGTTTGCATCTGTACTGAACATGTATAGACTTGTCTTCCTTGTTATTAATCCCAAACAATACAGTGAAACAACTATTTTCAAAGCATTGAGATTACATTAGGTATTTTAAATAATGTAGAGATGATTTAAAGTATATAGGAGGATGTGCATAAAGGCATAGGCAGCTGCTAAACCATTTTCTATCTGGGACGTGAGTGCCCATGGATTTTTTATCCTCAGGGTTCCTGGAATCAATCCCCCTTGGGTACCAAGAGAGACCTGTATTGTAAAACAATCCAAATGGCTGAATTCGAGGATATACTTAAGGATGGATGTGTGTGACTTACACGGATTTATAATGAAATAGTTGCTAACGGTAGTAATGCTGTACGAGAGGTGGCTAGGAAAACCTTCATCGTCGGGATCCTCAGCTGTGATATTGGCCACAATGGTTCCTAGACTCAGCTCTTCGGGAATGGTGTACACTCGCGTTGGACTGGAACAGAAATACAGCAGACACAGCTAATTTTCAGGGGCACAGGAGGGTGGGTATTTTGGTTGGTGCTAAATATAGTGCTGAGCTGTTTAAATTGCATCAACATGCTCAGAGGGAAAGCACAGCAGCTGAAAGGAGGGCTGACTGGCTTTTATATTGCCAAAGATCACATCCCCATGGATGCAAAGAAAGTACCACACTGTTACTGCAGTGATTTACATGGGCCACACAGTCTCTGACTCTGTGCACGCCTGCCTCATGCCATTTCAGATCAGCCTTGGCATTAACATCTTTTACAATACAGATGGTTGGCCTAGCCAAATAGCTCCTCTCCTTCTCCCAATTTTGGTGCAAAATCCCCCTAAATTCTTTTTAAAAATCCATTTGGACATTATGTCCACAGCTACAGGTTCCCTCCCCTGTTCCTGATTCCTATCCTAGGATGGGAGAAGCTGGAATATTTGTAAAGCTTCTCTATTCTAATGCCTTTGCTCACTGTTATTTCTTCCTTGTCTTTTTTTTTTTTCTCTTCCTTTTTTGGCCTGAGAGTACAGAATTTATGCACAGTACTTGTGTACCTTTCCAAGATGCATTAATCATGAGGTCAGTAGCTCTCTGAGCTGAGCAATAAGTCTCCTTACAGAAGACCCAGATCAGATGACTGTTCTCTAAGGATGACTTCTGACAAGATAACCCCAAATCACCAACTTACCCTTCTTCCTCAGACTACCAAGGCCACTGGAAAAGGCCAGCAGTAAAACAGGTTAGGAGTTTTAACAACTACATAATTTGGGTAAATCGAGTAATTGTTAATGCACACTTATTATTATTTAAAATAATAATAATTATTATTGTTAATAATAAATAATGGAAATGACTTCAGGGGGGAAATTTTTACCTCTAATTTCTAGTTTTCTATGTTGCTATTTTTCCCTTGTGGGATCTTCTATGAGAAGGGCATACTATACCTCAGTTCTAAATTATTGCATTCACTTGGTGAGCTCAGAATGTTTCTGCAGTTCTATCCCTCCATCCCTATAAGGTAGGTAGGGCCAGAAGAAGGAGAAATGAGAGGGTCCCTCCAGTGAGGGTCAGAAGCAGGCAGAGAAAGCCTGAACCCGGGCCCTCTCCCCAGACCCACTGCACCAGGTGCCTCCCTGGATCCTGGGTCCTCACACTCCTTTCATGAGGTGATCTTCTGTAGGTGGACTCTATTGTTGGGAGAGAATAACCTTGTTCAGCCCAAGAGGTCACTCCAGGGTCTCCCTGACACATCCTCTTCTCAGGGAATCCTGTGGCACTGGCCATGATGGGTCCAGGAATAGGCAATGTGGAGTGGGTCCTTAGAGGTAGGGTGGCAGGAATCCAAACGAGAGCCAGAGAGAGAGGTAGGCAGCCCTAGCACCCCAGACTGGGCTAAGCCCTTCTGTCTCTTCTGTCAGAGCCTGTGTTTCTCACAGAGTACCTATGTTCTTTCGTTTCTCTGAATGGGTTCCATTAGCCTCCCACTGAGATACCTGTGTTGCTCACAGCTGTGCCCTTGCTGCTCCAAGTGTGCCCAGGGATGGGCTAGAAATGCAGATCTCAGGCCCACCCACCCAAGGCCATGGTACCAGGACACTCAGGGGGTTTGTATATGCTTCCACGTTTGAGAAGGACTATCACAGGCAGTGCTGGAGGTGACACTTTCAGCTCCCGGTCTCTCATAGGACAGAGAGAGGACAACTTGGGAGG